GACCGCTACGAGCCGCTGCCGCCCGCGCTGCCGGACGCCGGCGAGCAGGACTGCTGCGGGGAGCGCGTGGTGATCAACATCTCGGGGCTGCGCTTCGAGACGCAGCTGAAGACCCTGTGCCAGTTCCCGGAGACCCTGCTGGGCGACCCCAAGCGGCGCATGCGGTACTTCGACCCGCTCCGCAACGAGTACTTCTTCGACCGCAACCGACCCAGCTTCGACGCCATCCTCTACTACTACCAGTCCGGGGGCCGCATCCGCCGGCCGGTCAACGTGCCCATCGACATCTTCTCCGAGGAGATCCGCTTCTACCAGCTGGGCGAGGAGGCCATGGAGAAGTTCCGCGAGGACGAGGGCTTCCTGCGGGAGGAGGAGCGGCCGCTGCCCCGCCGCGATTTCCAGCGCCAGGTGTGGCTGCTTTTCGAGTACCCGGAGAGCTCCGGGCCGGCGCGGGGCATCGCCATCGTGTCCGTGCTCGTCATCCTCATCTCCATCGTCATCTTCTGCCTGGAGACGCTGCCCGAGTTCCGCTACGAGGACTACCCGGCCTCGCCGTCGCAGGAGCTGTTCGAGGCGGCCAGCAACAGCACGTCGGGGGCCCCCGCCGGAGCCTCCAGCTTCTCCGATCCCTTCTTCGTGGTGGAGACGCTGTGCATCATTTGGTTCTCTTTTGAGCTGCTGGTGCGGTTCTTCGCTTGCCCCAGCAAAGCCACCTTCTCCCGAAATATCATGAACCTGATAGACATCGTGGCCATCATCCCCTATTTCATCACTCTGGGCACCGAGCTGGCTGAGCGACAGGGCAATGGACAGCAAGCCATGTCCCTGGCCATCCTGAGGGTCATCCGGCTGGTGCGCGTCTTCCGCATCTTCAAGCTCTCCCGCCATTCCAAGGGGCTGCAGATCCTGGGGCAGACGCTGAAGGCGTCCATGCGGGAGCTGGGGCTGCTCATCTTCTTCCTCTTCATCGGGGTCATCCTCTTCTCCAGCGCGGTCTACTTTGCAGAGGCAGACGACCCCACTTCAGGTTTTAGCAGTATCCCGGATGCCTTCTGGTGGGCAGTGGTAACTATGACGACAGTAGGTTACGGGGATATGCACCCAGTGACCATAGGGGGCAAGATTGTGGGGTCGCTCTGTGCCATCGCTGGTGTCTTGACCATTGCTTTGCCAGTCCCGGTGATTGTCTCCAACTTCAATTACTTCTACCACCGGGAGACCGAAGGGGAAGAGCAAGCCCAGTACATGCACGTGGGAAGCTGCCAGCACCTCTCCCCTTCAGCTGAGGAGCTCCGGAAAGCAAGGAGTAACTCGACTCTGAGTAAGTCGGAGTATATGGTGATGGAAGAGGGGGGTATGAACCATAGCGCGTTCCCCCAGACCCCTTTCAAAACGGGCAATTCCACTGCCACCTGCACCACGAACAATAACCCCAACTCCTGCGTCAACATCAAAAAGATATTTACCGATGTTTAATATGTGATACAAGTGACATGCCGTGCTCAGTATTGTGTGAACTGTTCCCCCTTGGTCTGTGTTGCCCTTGTTTTGTACATTTTCAGACCATTCATCAAGGACAGGACATTAAGAAGTGGAAAGCACACTTCATCCTCCCTCTCCCTACTGCTTCATACTGAAACAAGTGTCTGTTTTGCAAGTGGGCTGCATTCTCTCAGCTCTACCGTTTTTTTCTCCCTCTCTCTTAATACCGCGAACAACAAACACTTTAAACTTGATTTCTAGTACACGCCCTATTAAAAAAAAAAAAAAAAAACAACAAAAAAAAACAAACCTGTACATCCTGGGAGGAAATGAAACTAAAGAACGGTTACTGTTTAACCTCAGAATTAAAAGCCAGCTGTTTCTTTACCAAGTAAAGCAGACACATACTTAAACAATGCTTGGTGGACCCTTCAACAGTATTGAATATTTAGTTCAGTTGCCTACACTGTGGATGGAAAGTCTAATCAAAATGATTTATAAACCCACCATAAGTTTATTTGGTTTTTCACTGGAATTTCTATTCAGAACTCCCCTCCCCGAATTTTAAGGCTCTCTACAACTTTGAACAAAGGGAAATGCCCTGGATCTTGATCTGACTAGTTTGTTTAACTCTTTGGGGCTCGTTAGGCATTTCGAAAGTATTAGACTGACAGATTCCTGTGAAATTCTTTGTGTGTGCTCCAGCCAGCATCTATCAAAGTCTAGAAACAGATGTTTTCAGTGCTGCTGAGAAACAAAAAAATTTCCTAATGCATCTGAGAGATAAGCTTCTGCAGTATCAGAAGAAGATTAAAGTGGTAGACACTCCTTCCAGCGGAAGTTACTAATTCGGACCTGACTGATGCAGTTCCCATAGCAACCCATGTTTCCTGGGAAACCCAAAAAAGGTTGTCATGGCATCTCTTGCTCCCTAGCCCCACCCCCTAGCCCCTGCCGTTTCCACAGTAACCTTTCCAGATGGTTCTTACTTACATGATTTCATAAGGAAAACCACTGTTTGAATAAACCGCACAAAAGAAGTTAATTCTGAGAATCCAAGATGGTGAAATGAATCTCAGAATACATATTTTTACTACAAAGAATCATTGATATCATCCCAAAATGACTGAATCAAGAAGGAAAATATCGGCTTTGGAATGTTAGATGTACACCACAATCAGAAATGATTTGAATTAAGTGCCAGTAATTGAGCAATAATTTCAAAAGATACTTCTCTACTGTTTTTCTTTCATCAAGAAGTTTCACGCCAACAAATGAAATTAAAAAGCAAATATGAAACTTCTGTACATAAGCAAATGGAAGATTCAGTCAGACTTCCTCTTTTTTTAAAAAAAATCCAGATTCCACAACAGCACTGTCACCATTTCAGTACTCGAAAAGCTAAATAAACTTGAAAAATATAAAAGATGCACGTTTTGAACCGAAGGAATTGCAGACAATCAATAAAAAGGAGGGACAAGAAGTAACCAAATCTTGGAGAAATACCTGCAAGTTTCAGCCATATGCCAGGGGTTGCCAGAAGACACACAGAATCAGGTGAGCACTGTGCGGGCCACGGCGAGCGCTTCCATTTTGTACAGGAGGCAGGGAAATGCCAGTTATGTCTAGGTTGGTGATACCTGGCACCACCAATAGTTTTATTTTAATTACCTGCGAGGTGCCTTCTAAAGATCATTTAGAACACCTTTTCCCTTTGATTTCCATGCTGCCAACTCTCTTTTGCTTTCCATTGTTAATTGCAAAGGAATGGAAAAGAAGTCATTGCTCATGAGCATAACCTTCACCCAAACTGAGCTGGGAATGATTCCATCCCTTTTTCAAGTTCACTTGGCTTCTGAACAACCTGTTTCCCCTTTAAAAAAAAAAAAAAAAAAGGCTAAAAGACAGAAGCTGCTGCTGTTTGATTATTCCAATTTTAATTCATATTATTATTTGGTAGTGTGCCGTAGTACAATTCTTTGAAACAAAAATGGTTAAAATTGTAATAAGGGTAACATTTTATTTTAATAGACCATTTTATTTTATACACATTATATAAATTATACATTATACATTTTCCACAATCGCATTTGGGTCTTGATGGGCTATAACTATTTTATCCTAGAGTAAATGAGAGAAACCCTATTTTAAAGCTCATAAAATATTTTCAAGTAGTCAGATGTGTACTTACTTTATTATTTGCACAATTGAAACAGTGAAAAGTGATGGTTAAGATTTCTGGTCTAGATGGTGGAGTAGCAGTAGTTTGCCTTTGTTCGACAGAAAATTATGGTAAGAAGAAATTGACTTTGGAGTACATTCTTACAAAGAGGAAAGAAAGTCACTACTGTAACTCCATGTAAAACTACCACATACATGAGAACCCAACTTTGACATTCCAATAGTTATAACCCAGAGATGGGCTTGTGGATGATTTTTATTTTATTCTTTGGGCTTCTCTGAATTTTCCAATTAAAAAAAGTACATTACTATTGTAATCATAAAAAAGTACAAATATTAGAATACAAATTAGGTACTCTAGTTTGTCTTCTCTGCTATGACACCTGATTAAAATAATTTTATTTTTATCATAAAAAAATTAATGGTTAATACTACAAGAAGAAAAAGAGGAAGGAAAAGACAGAAAAATAGAGGCAGAAAATCTGCATACCTGGGGACAAGGTCATGATTCTTGTCCATGGGCATAGAAACAGGGCCTTTTTCTCTAGTTTCCTTTGCTACTTGTTTGAGTTACTTTTAACATTGATCTACCTTTTGATCAAATTTTGGTGTTCTTACTGATCAGAATTTGTTTTTTATGGCCCATTTTGGTGGCTATATTTTAGACACACTGTAGTAATAACATAAGAATAATTTTTGTATCTGTTCTTAAAAGATCTTAAAAGATCATAAAGATGAACAAAGTAACAGTGACAATTTTGTTCATGTTTATTCAGAAGATATAGAAACCCTGATGAGTTCTATAAGTAATACGTGGTTGTGCCATAATTTTTGGAATTGTATGGTTATTAAGTAGCAGTAATATAAAGAATTTTTTTAAATCCTTAGACATATGGCTTTTGAGTCTTAAGCTTGAGATAGTATAATTGCTTTTAGTTGCCATATTGTAGCTCTTTAAAGGTTATAGGTTCTGTGTCTTGACAAAGTTTTGGATACTAGTGCCTAGCACAGAATATAGTAGCTTATTGAATGCATATTTGATGAACGAAGAACTATTATCTGACTTTAATGTTATTTTCAGGCTTTTAATAAAGTGGTTTAAAGCATAAGCTCAGCAGTCATATTGCCAGGGTTTGAATCTTGACTCTGCTCTATGACCTTGAGCAAATTACTCAACCTCTCTGTGCCTCAGTTTCCTTGTTTGTAAAATGAGGATAATAAATACTGCCTTATAGGATTGTTGTGAATACTAAATATTAATACAGGTCTAACACTTGGAGAAAGTAATTGCATGACATGCAGCAGAGATTTTGCTAAGAGATTACATTATCACATTACGTTATTTACTAAGAGATTACATTATTATTGTGATCTTTACTTGCAAGCAATGCATTATTAATACCGAGCTTTGTGAGTGATATGGAATATACAAATAACCAGTGTCTTCCTGTTTACTGTTTATATAACAATAATAATTACCATTTATTAAGGGTCAACCATGTCCTTGACACTTCTCAACTTTGCAAGATAAATGGTATTAACCTCATCTTAGGAGGGTAAAAAACAGATGGTTATGGTTAAGTGATTTCCCTAAGACTTCACACCTAGCAAGAGACCCAGTTTTTTAAAGCCAGGTTTTTCTGCCCCTAAACTCCATGTTCCTTTTATTGGATGACTTGAAAGAGATTGAGAAAATAAATTTCTTGTGCTTTTAGGTTTCACTTCAGCCCATGTTACAAGTAATGAGTTCCTGTCTCCAGAAACCTATTTTTTCCAGTATACTGAAAATTAACCCTTTTCTAATCATCTAATACTTTTAACCATGGAAATCAAATATACGTTATTTAAATCAGATGAAGAAATTGAAAGATTTCCAGAAATGAAAGATTATTATATGATTGATTGATTTTGATGTAATATTATGCTCAGAAAGTATAATCGGTCACAGTAGTGATACCTGAGAGGACTATGGGTATTTTTCAGTTTTACAGTTAGTTTCTTATTTTCATGTGTTTTCACCTACAGCAGGTGATAGTATTGTGCAAATTGTTATTTGTCCATCTCCTTATACTTTGCTTAGGTTACTGGAGAATCGTGCCAGAAAGTGGTGTAAATGCCTATCCCTTATTAAGAAGGGAGACATTACTTAGAACAAAAGGATTAAAAGCAGGAGATTGCCAGTTCATTGAAATTTGTGACATTGTTGCCTTATAAAGCATCTGTCCTCAAAATAACATTAGAATATAATTTTATCCCACCTGATAGCTGTAGCTCCTTCTCTAAGATCCAAAGTCATTTAGAAAATTGAAATGGGTTAGTGATTTGGGCTTAGAGCAAACTGCTAATGAGTCTAAGTTTACACAGGCCATTTAGCTTTGCCAAACCACAGACTTTGCTGTTGAGCCTTGGATGTTGAAAGGTGTACAAAGGTCTATGTGTACAAGAGATTCATGAGAGGAAGTGTGACTTGATCAGTGCACATCCATCAACCCTGGGGAAAATCTATATACCCTATAGCTGGTGAATCCAGAAATAATGACATTGTGATTATCTTATTTATTTTATGGTGCTTTAAACTGATATCATACCAAATTTAAATACCAATCAACTTTGGTAAGATAATCACAAACAGTTATACATAAGAGGGAGTGTTATTTCTAAACTTTAAAATGAAATTTCAGGATTGAAATTTTAAATGTATGAAGAAATTTAAAGTTATGGTTTGTTGACATAAAACTTGTTATTTACCCCTTTGGCATATAACAAACTCAAGTAATTGCTTTGCTGATGGTATATAAATTCAATATATATTATATACCAACAGTCTATTCCTTGGAGAACCGTAACTATAATTTACTGACTTCTATACATTTAAAATTTCAGTGTTTTCTATAGCATCTTCCCAGTCCTTCCCACCTCTCAGCTGTGAATAGATGTGATAATCCCTCCCACTCAAAAATGCAAAGAAGCAAATGTGCACCTCCCGCCCGCCCCCCCACCCCCCATTCTGAAGACTTATGGAAACACTGTGAGATAGAGGTGAGGAGCATAACAATGAGGAAGAGGATATTTAGGGCTTGCATTTTAGGATGGGTTTTTTTC